AAGTTTATTGTAAAAGATGAATATTTCCTGCACTGTATGTCTATCTTGAAGTTTATTGTAAAAGATGAATATTTCCTGCACTGTATGTCTATCTTGAAGTTTATTGTAAAAGATGAATATTTCCTGCACTGTATGTCTAACTTCGAGTTTATTGTAAAAGATGAATATTTCCTGCACTGTATGTCTAACTTCGAGTTTATTGTAAAAGATGAATATTTCCTGCACTGTATGTCTAACTTCGAGTTTATTGTTAAAGATGAATATTTCCTGCTTTTTGTGAAAATTTTTTGAAGCTTTTGTCTTTTATGTGAACTTTTTTTAATAACAGAGATCAAATGTGAAAATTTTGTTCAATTAGCACTTGTGTAAGACTACATGGCAACTTTAATGAGATAAATCACAATAAATATAATACAACTTCAAAGAATACCTCACAAAGACCACAGTATTGCGAATGGTCTAACACAGTAGCTTTAACCCTGCACTACGTTACATTTGATAAATTATTTAACAAGCACTAATAGCATACTGCTGTATGAACTCAATAAGGGTACAGTAAGTATGCTTTAAATATAAATCGGTGCTTGTTTGTATGTTTTAATAGCTGCAATTATAAAACAAACCAGTTATTAGTATTAGTAATTAAAACAATAACAAACAGAAGCTTTATGCAAATTAAAAAATAATGTTTTGTAAAATAACTTAGAAGATTCAGTCTTCACAGCAAGCCATTTAATTCATTGGGGTCATCCTCAAACTAATAAAGAACACCAAATACACTAAGCATAATTTTCAAATGCACATGTTAACACAAACACTATGCTATCAAATATTTTTTTATGAAGAAAAATTTAAGTCTAGGAACGAGTAAGGTCATAAATATTGAAGACTTATACTAAACATCTCTGATACTCAAATAATAATTTGTATCATACAGATCAAAAAATAAAAATAATTTTTAAAGATAGCTTATCCAAGCTTTAAAACAACCACAATCAACTATATGTCTTCTAAGTTTCAATAAAAATTAATTCACTGTTTAAAGCTTTCTCTCAACCTTTCATTTCCTCAAAACTTTCATCCTGACAGCCCTTCGTTGCACCCTCTCGTAGCCCTTTGCTGCAACCTCTAGCACGTGCGTGTCTGAAGTAATATGACTGTCAAGTTTATTATACTTTTCCTGTTAACAGTAACCTTACAACATTTTAATTATTTTGTTTTCAAGTATCGTAAATCGAAACTTATTTAGAGGAATGTTCCGTTTGTTTTTATGGTGTCAATATTTCAAAATAATATCCAATTCTTTACACACCTGCTAGCCAGAAACAAATCTAGCACACTATGAATGGTTTGATATCAAATTAAACACTCACCGATTTAATCAGAAACATATTTCAAGTGTTACTTATTTTAATTAATTATTTCTAGCTAAACTAGTCTAAGGTTTGCTACATAAAGTGAATTAACTGTCTAGATTACTATTGAAGTAAACTTTTATAATAATATTTACAGTAACTGTTTTCACAGCACCATGAAAACGGTGTGAACAGGTTATTTTCAGTGTGAGCTTTTCTGTCGAAGTGCATGCAAATATTCACTGATATTTCATTTAATATCCAATTCTTAAATGGATTAAGCTTTAATGTTCCATTCTAGGCAAACATAAATGACCATGTTTGATCCTATCAATTACCACGAAGCTTTCATAAATATGAGAAATAAGATCATATAATCTCCAAAAAAATATTATACTTTTGTTAACAGAATACCATCAAAACTGATCATTAAAAGCTACATCAAACAGTTTAATCAGTTTACTCAACTTATACAAGTTGGTTTTAAACTGTTACTACAACATGTCATGACGTTCTTTCTGCTTAGTCCACAAACTCTCACGATCTGTTGACACTTGTTAATTTTTGGCCATTAGTAACTAAAGTTACATGAAAATAACATCATCAAATAATTCGGTGACGAGGAACCCCACTTTGAGACTAATAATGGCTGGAGACAGCTTAAATGGGTAATGAAGAAAAACTTATATAC